CAATCAATGGATAAAGTGTTCAAAATGACCTCCATCTAGTTCCATACAATAATACAGTCTACTTTCGTTCCTTACATTATTGAAGAATTCCGGAGGCAGAAATCAGCATTCCCGAACAATTGTCTGTAGATTTGTAGAATTTATTCACTCAGCAGTAAACGTTTTGAAATGGACGACACGGTAAGTTTTCTCTGCACTGGTAGTTTTGTTGAATCTAGTTGTCGCAGAACAAAAAGTAAATAGTTGGCCACTGTCATTCGTTTTACTGGAAAGAAAACTGAAGTAGCCATTTTAATTCACACACTAAAGTGTAATTTACTAATAAAAACACTGACAATAAGTAGGGACTTTATCATCAGTTCCAATTCTTCAGGTAATGAAGTACATAATTGAAGCACTATTAGATAGTATTGAATTATAATGTCATCCTCTTTTCAAGGAAAAACTGAAAATACCTCAGGACTGCGTGATTCAATCAGGTAAGTTGTGTAGGTATGTGATACATTGAAAAGGCTTCTCACAGAAATTATTGAAAATTTATATCGAAATTCTGAAGTAAAACCAATTTTAGGTGTTCAATAAAAAAAATCTAGTAACTATTGATACGTGTGTTCCATATATTTGTTTCTCAACGTATATATACAATTATGAAGAGATTTGTTATACCCAATCATACAACAACGCCAAATGATTGAAGTGAATATAATATTTCTCTCTTTTTGACCGACTCAGTCTTGTACGACTATGGAACAGCCACTGTAAAGTGATTCATTACTCTGCTGTTAAAGGAAATCGACTATAAGTTAGAAGATTGACCCACAAAGTTTTCGTCACGAAGTGTGCATACCTAACTATAGTCTGAACAGGTCAATTTTATTTATATAATCCATTGCCATAATGTTCTTTCAATATTGAGTTATGAAGAACTGTATAAACCTGTGGGAATACATACAAATATGCAATATTTCATATACAATCATGATGATTTACTGATTCTGGGTATAATTCTGAATTTCTTCGATAGTTTCGCATTTCAGAGAAAGTAGTTTGTTTACGTTCACATTTTCTGTTACATAATTGTTCCACTGGTTCACTAAAAAGCACCTTCTAGATTTATTAATCATTGTGAAAAATTGTCTTTTTCATTTCTGTGAAAGAATATTACAATAAATAAACGTATGAACAAATTTTTGAATGTGTGTGACCAATATGGTTCTTTATGACAATAAGCAATGCTTTCATATTATATTCAAGTGTTCTTTTATAGATATTATATAATATGTACAGGGTGGCCCAAACGGAGATGGCAGGACCTATTAAAATCACTCGTTTTTTTTAGTTTCCAAGCTATGAATCTTTCAGTGTTTCTTTCAAAATTTGCGGCCAGCTGGGCTCCTATTCTTGATTTTTTCCTCAGGGAGTTTCTTCTTATTTTTTTTTGCATGATTCTCATATTATCCTTTCATGCGTAAAAACTTGCTTTCTGAAATAACAAGTACGATACAAACATTTTCATCAATATTGAAGAAAGGTAATGTAAAATTCAAAACTTTGAATTGAAAATAGGTAGAAAATATTCTATAGATCCTAGTTCCTCCTTTCTAAAAAATGTGATGTATCTTTCTAGACCATCCTATATATTTTAGCTTTGTTTTCCTAATGACTGACGTTCGAGTCACAATACTTACATATCGCCCACTCCGTCAAACTTCTCACACAGTAAAAATCAACTTTCTTTTCAAACAATGGTAAAAGCATTGTCTACTTTAGACAATGGTAAAAGTCACACTTCATACTTGCGCAATTTATTAGCTGAGAGAGTAGCTCAAAGAAGTTGAACTACTCTCCGCTAGATGTCAAAAGATGTATCCTTTCAAGTCATATTTATTTATATAATGATATAAAATATACAGGGCTATTCAAATTCGTTTCTGTAGATGGGGATCTCGTAAACGATAAGAGATTTGTTCATTTGATTTTATAGTATGTTTGTGTCAATTTTCTTGTTTAACCCTGTATAGAAGACAATTGAGAGGTAGATTTGTAAATAAAAAGTTGTTGTTGACGGTACGAAAAAATTATTTTCTCATTTCTTCATATTAAACAAAACCAAAGTCTTGCCCAAGTCGAAAAGTAAAACCAAGTCAGATACAAACTTCATTTTGGGATTTTTACTGGACAGTTTACAAAACCGCAACACGTGTTTCACTAGACAATAGCGCGTTGCACCTGTTGCGGTGCACGTGTCGGGGTGCACGTGTTACACGTGTTGCCAGCCGATTGCAGTTAAGTCTGATTGACCCGCGTGAGGAGGATTGTTTATTTTACCCAATAGATGCAAATGTGCGTGATGATTACGCTTCGATCACGCATCTATCTTTGTTTAGGTTACTTTGTTTGTTGGATGGACAGAGTTTAGTGAAAATCTAACAATAAAGTATGAATATGTTGTTTGAATGTTTGAGCTTTAGTATATATTTCACAAATGGCGATACCAGAAGAAAAATAACATTGATATCAATGTACTACAACTTTTTACCATTATAATTCATTTTATATTATGAAGACCGTTTTTTTACCTGATCCCACTATATATCTCGGAATCGGTAAGACCTACAAGGTTTGTTAAAATGGACAAGAGTTTTCTATTCTGAGGAACTAGAATAATCCCTTTTCATATCGAGAATATCTGTGGTTGTTTCCAAAATATTCGCCAAAAACTAGATGTGTCAAATTATCCTTTTAGGCTCTAATGCCACCATTTCGAAAGATATAAAAAAGGACAGAGGTACCTACTTTTTCATATTTACCTTGATCTGATATAAACCAATTTTCAATGCAACGGATCATCATTAACTTATTTTTTTTCAATATGTCCCTCTAGTTCTTTCCATCGATTTTTTCAACCACTGTTATAACGAAATCAGCAATACATGTGTTTTCTGGCGTTTCTCTCATCATCACTGTATTGTCATACAATTCCCCGTCAGAGCTACCTCAAAAAATTTTTTTGAGCCTAGAACTGAAAGCTTTACATACTTATACCAGATAACCGTTCATCGTTCCTCCATATTCGTTCGTGCAATAATATTTTTATGGCAATTTATAGCCATGCAAGCCCTGCTCATGTACGTATATAGTAGGTAGGGTGAGTGTATACAGCACTTCCGCTTCAGCGGCTTCCGCGAAGTTTTTGGAAGGTGCAATGACATTACTGTCATTGCGCGGCTTCTTCAATATTCCTGGGGTTCCCCTAATGAAGGTGTTCAAGTGAGCGCGCTTTCCTGCAGGAGCAGCCGGTTCCTTGCCTTCATTCAAGGAGGTGATCTTGGCGCCCGCCGCAGGAAGTGCTCTTGCTGTTGGAGGTGGAGTGGGGTGCACTTATAGTTGCTGCCACTCCTTCCTTTTCGCTCTCTTTATCATTTTGGCATCGGCGCCGTAAATGCGCTTATGCTTCGGCCTTTGTATTACATCACGAAGTGATCTGCTATGTCCAGCCTCATTCCAAGCGGTATATTGGGGTGGACATTTCTGTTCATCCCCAACCACCGCCATAGATTGAGGTAAGCACTTCTTTCCAGCCTTGGGATTGGTTTTTCTTGTGTCTGTTTGTTTGTTTCATATATGTGTGTTCCCACGAGTAGCAAGGGAAGAGTTGGTCACCTCTGGCAAAGCCTCGCATTACCAGAGGAAGGCTGATTACAATGAGGTTTCGCCCGGTTCCCCAAGGGGATCGTTCGTAACCGCATATCATCCTGTGGTCATTCAGCTGTCTGCATGATTCCCTACAGCTTAGCTTGGGTAGGCTGGTTCACGGTGGCATGTTTCGCAAAGGCTTTTCGAAAGTTTTAGTTCCCCTCACCCTACTTATTTCTGCCACTGACCAGGAGTCCGGCAATCCCGTCTGTAAGGCCACACATTGACTTCCCGAATAGGCCCCCAGTCCCCTGGCCGTTCCCCTATTCGCCACCTGAGGACGCGCCCGATAGTTGGCCCAACCCACGGAAGCCCTGCTTATTGTATCTTCCAATTAGTCAACATTGCCAAAAGTTGAGCCAAATACCTTGTCTTTGATGAAACCCCACAATGGAAACTCCAGAAAAGTAAGGTCAGGAGAATTTGGTGGCCATTTTATAGGACCACTGTTTCCTATCCATCGGCCTGGCATTGTCGTTTTGAGGAAATATCTGTAAATAGTTCAGCGATGTGGCGGGGATTCATCATATCAGAAATACTGATATTTTTTCAGAATATTATGAGGCAAATCTCCCAGCTAGAGTCTCCGACAATAATTCCAAATATAATTCCCCCGTCAAAGATGTCTCAAAAAGTAAGCATCTATAATATTGATGTCTAGCAAACCAAGCCAAACATCAACTCCGAATCTCTCCTTGAAATTTGTAGCTCTATGTAAGAAGGAATGTTCTTGTAGTCAGTGATAATAAATATTTCTGTTAAACCTTCCATTATTCGTGAATCTACTCTCATCACACCATAACATTCCATTGAAGATTTTATTATTCTGACGAAGTTGTCTGAGTAGTCATCTGTTTCGATCACCAAGTGATCATCTTCAAGAGGAAGATCAAACTAATCATACTTACAAAGTTATCCTTATTTATACCATATTATACCTCTTCTACGTACCTACGTCATAAGTATCTTAAATTAATTTCACAATATTGCCTTATTTACTAGTCTTAAATTAATTTTACAATGTCTTTACACTTTCTACACTTTCATAGGCATCTAGATGCCTGTTGTTGTTAACTTGTCTAACTAATTTCAATGAACTGAAGTCTATGGAATGGAGATGTCCATTATATTTCAAAAACAATCACTCATATTCCCAACCTGAGAGAGATATTATTGAGGAAACGTTTGCCCAATTCAACTGACCTTGCAAGTCTCACGGTTTCCGAGATAGCAGTAGTAGAATCAGCTAAAAAAAAGTCTGTATATTCCTTTCATCACATAACTTTAGTTTTTTATTCTTTCAGGAAACACATTTCTCGTTAACGTAGCCCTGGCAGATTTCCTAGTCTCAGGTCTGGTGGTGCCGGCGTCAGCGGTCGTCATCTTGGCAGGCCTGCGCGACAACAACTTGGTCGTTTGCAGATTCCAATGGTTCCTCGCTACCTTGTGTTTCTTGGTTACTGTTCTGTCATTAGCAGCAATCGCGGTAGAGAATTATTTTCGCCTTTGCTTCTCACAGAATTGCTACGATAAACTGACCCGTAGAAAAATAACCATCATTCTCCTAGTATTATGGAGTGTATGTTCCTGTATTTCTGGACTACAGTTCACTAAAGATTTATCCTTCGATTATTGCACGAGGAAATATTCAGGACTCATCCCATATCAAGCCACGGTGGGGGCCGTTCTAGTGTTTCTACCTATGACAATCACGCTCATCTCCTATGTAAGAGCTGGTTTCCAAGTTCGCAGGTAAGTTTACTCAGTTTTAGAACTTTCTTAAAATGGAGATTATCAGAATTTCCGGGAACTTGAAATAAAAAATTAAAAATTTCTCAATTACTCTATCCTTGTTTGAAGGTGGTTGACAATGTTTCGTGGTGTATTTCATCAGATCGGACTTTCATTGTCTAATATAATATAAATTAATCTGAAATCCATGAAAAAAATTAAAAAGATTAACCGAAAATAACAATTTTATAAACAAAAAACTGTAATTACAAAGAAATAACATGCAAGCAACAACCAAAAAATCAAAATTGAAATAATAATAAAAGCTGAAAAATTAAAAAATATCATTAACAAAAATGAAAATTAAAAAGATTTCAAACCAAGTTATGTCACGACGTTTCGATTATTAGTATACACAATCGTCTTCGGGTGATAACTGGACTTATTCCTCTGAAATGTGACTATTCATAGGTCATTCGAGTACTTTCACTTATCCCTTCTTCCCTCTCCACTTCGTTGGTTTTAGCGGGAGATGACCGTTTGGCGGGAGTTGGTCGTTTTTGTCTTGATTAGAGGTTTCCATATGTTACGTATCTCTACGCTAGCTCGATTAAATGCGTTGTTGGACAACATATACGCGGCTTCTTTGAATTGTCTCCCAAACCATTGTTCCTCTTTGTGGATTATTTCAGCTTGAGCCCACTTGATGTTGTAATGATGAGTCCAAACATTGTCTGCTATTCCGGATTTGCTGGTTTCTCCTCGCTGTGTTTCTTGTGCTCAGCAATGCGAACTTTCAATGGCCTCTTCGTTTCACTGATGTGAACCTCACTCGCAGGGTATCCGGTAAATGCAATTCTTGGAATCGTTTGGTGGCCTGGTTTTCGTGAGGCTGCTGCGGATAATGTTCCCAGATCTGAAGCAGGTCCTCATGTTTTACTTGGACCCAATCCTTCTTATCCTTTCCGATACTCCTCTGATGTAGGGAAGTACAAGTACTGGTTGTGGCGGCTTCTCTTCCTTGTGGAGCTCTTATTGTCTTCTAGCTAAAGCCTCTTCCACCATCACTCTGGAGTAACCATTCCATTGAAAGTCATTTTTGATGATGCCTAGTTCCTTTTTGAGACCTTCCTTTGTATTACAGAGCCCGAAAGCACGGTCTAGTTATATTATATTAGACAATGGAAGTCCGATCTGATGTAATACTCTATCCTTGTTTTCANACATGGTACACTTTCATTTATATTGTTGTTACATATTATGTAATCCTGTACAGAAATTACCTTTGCATAAGTGCTTGTAGTGCATATCTTTGCACGAAGAAAGATATTTTTTTTATTCTGTTTATTAATTTTAATGCTTTAATGTTTGAAGACGTGCAAACTAATCGTGTCTAGGGATTTGAAAATTTTTTTTTGTATGAAAACACTGGCGAATAAATAATATATGGGTATTTTGAATACAATTGAATAGAAATGAGTGAAATTAAGGAGTGCTTTTTCATTTTATCATTTATTCATATTTTTTCATTCATTTTTGTTTATTTTATTTTCATTAAGTATATTTTGTTTCCATTCATAACTTTTTTTATTTGGTAGTTGAACGAACTGAGTTTATATATTTATATTTGAAGTAGTAGTTTGTTATATAGTTTCGGAACTATATTAAAAATGCTGTAACGGGAGTGACTTTTTCTAAGTATATCAATGGATTGGTTCGTGATGAATCGGGTTGGAATAGTTTTGTTGGGTTTTATGGTTGGTTTTGTTTTTTATGCATTTATAGCTAGCATTGGTGCATATGTAGTTCGTCAATGTTGAAGATGTCTAGTTCTTCGCAAAGCTTATCAGTTGGGAAACATTTGTGCTATGGTCCATCTCAAAAGAGGACGATGGACGATGGAGAGGATGTGCAGATCGTAGATGGAAGCATCCTACACCATTTGAATGCCGGAGAGACGTATACTCACCTCGGGGTGGAACAACGCCACTCAAAAGATGTAACAGCAGTGAATAACTCTCTCCGCGGCAAGTATATGCACAAACTTCGACAGATCTGGTCATCGGAACTGTCGGGGAAGAACAAAGTTGCTTCAACAAATATGCTTGCCGTTCCAATCTTACTCTACTCGTTTGGAGTAGTGAAGTAGACTCGGGAGGAGCTGTCTCAACTCGACGTAGAGACCCGAAAAATGATGCATCTCTATAGGAGTTTGCATCCCAAATCGTCCGTTCCACGGTTGTACTTCCCCCGACAACAGGGAGGCCGTAGACTTTTGAGTTTGGAGTGTCTACATGACATAATAATGGTACTGTATATAGCCTGTAAAGTCGTCAGGAGTTCAGATCCCCTTCTGTGCATAATCCGTGACCATGAGAAAGCAGGAATTGAAGCATTTCTCTTTAAGGCATCTGCCCGAGCAGCCGATGAACTCGGTATAGTTTTCGACACTGAACGAGGTAACCAAAACTCTGTCACCGGGTTGAAACCCGTTCACCAAAAAGGTCATATAAAAGCCCGAGAGATAACCTCACTTCTGCATAAACACAAGGATAAGCCAATGCATTGGATCTTTTTCAATAAAATTGGAAATAAAATAAAATTGGAATACCGAAATAACGCGGCCCTCTGAGGCCGCGTTATTACCATCTACGGCACTCTTACCGTGTTGACGAGACACCGGTGTTGCCCTACGCTCCGGGGGATATTGCATCCGTTGTGGGGAACGAGAAGTGCCGAATTTATTGGGACTATTCGTTCCCCATCCTCAGGCTCATACAAGCTAATGAACCTGATGTAGTCCTTCTCGACCACCAGAACAAAACGATATTTATCGTGGAGTTTTCAGCTCCTGGCGAGACAAATATCGTCAGAAAAGAGGAGGAAAAACGAATAAAATATCGAGATTTCCTCTTCGAACTCCGCAGACTCCAGATCAATCTGTCAAGATGGTTGTTCTGATTATTGAGGCCCTTAGTGAAATGATGCCATCTCTACTCTCGAATCTTAAAATCATACCGGCCTACCGCAGTAAGGCAGAAATCTTAGCCGGACAGCTGCAGAAGGCTGTCATTCTTGGCTCACTGCGCTTGCTCAGGGCACATGATTCTCGGACCCAATGATCACGTACCCCACGGTGTGGGGAGTGGTCGAGTGGTCGTTGGTTGATAATGCTGGGGCGCCCTCCCGAATGTATCGGGGCTTCGGGAAATAGGGCCTGACCAGCGCATACTTCGGTATTAAAAAATATTAATAATAATACCAATAATACCAATTAATAAAAATGAGTCATATTTTGTTCATGCAGTTAGGGCGACATTCAGTTTATATGTAACAATTAGATTGTACAATATGAAATATAATTCAACAGTTAACATACATCTGCTCTTCCATCTAACCCCAAGAAAGAAGTCATAGACAGCAACTGGAGTAATGAATCAGTAAATTAAATCAAATCAATAGAGAAAGAGTGAAAGCTCAGCGATATTTCAATCCGAATAATGTATTGTTGTAGGGAAAAATAATAGTCAAAAAGAACTCATTTGATTGAGACGGTTAACAATACAATAAGAAAACCACCGTTTGAAAAACTCAGTATGGTGGCGAGTTACAGTAATAGTATTTCTGTCTTAAGTTAAGGAAATATACATGTTGTGAGTAGTTTTCAAATTTTATAATGCATTATTATATGATCCTCCCCATTACTATATAGTATCTCAATAATGGTTCAATTAAAGATGTATATATAAGTTTCGATTGTCTAAAATGTAACTAAGTATTAAACATTCTCGGATTAATTACCTAACTTTGTTGTTCTCATATTTTGAATGCTCGTTTCATTTTAGGTGTTGAGTGCATGTTTTGTTAAGCATAATATTATTTCTGTTATTCATTAACACTTTTTTATTTCTGGTTAGAAACATTCATATTTTGTATTTCTCATTTCTGTAATCGATATTTTTTCACAGTATTATTTTGCTGCTATGCCAATCGAGCAACTAGCAATAGATGAAACCACTCGTTTTATGGACTCATAGGTTTATCATGTTGTTTGCTCTCATGAAATTGCTAAATAACAGGGAATTAAATTTACCTAATGAAAATTAGCATTGTGAGAATTCATTAATAATAACAATGGATTGGCTTTATGGATAATACATGAAACAATACAAAGATGAATAGGAAAAAAGTAACAGGAGATTCTGGTACTCATTGGCAAAGTCTATCTAGAGCTACTCAAACACAACCAACAAGCACCACTCCATAATGAATGCTAACATACAGAAATAAAAAAACAATTACCGGTGAGTGCTCAGACACCGAAAAGAATTGATCTTTGAAACTGAGCAGTGCGATGTCGTGGCATAGTTAATTTGTTTTTATTTCTAATATTTACTGGATGGCTGATTGATCAAATCTAGATCAGCGGTAAAGAGATTTTGTCCCTTAGCATACTCTTCGATTCGAAATTCATATATAAATGTACGTCATCAGCATAAGCTTGTATTTTATAGTTATTGAAGGATGAGATAATGTCAGTGGTATAAATGATGAACAATAAAGGTCCCAAAATGAAACCCTGTGGGAGATAAGAAGTAGTGACCATCAACTAAAACTTTTTGAAATCTAAGTACCCAGTAAATAAGACCATATGAAAAATAAGGCAGCACTATCAAAACAAAAATATTTGAGTATCAAGTACTAGCACTAGCTCATGATTGATGGTATCCAATGCTTTTGAAAAATCTAGTTAAACCAGAGTACCAATCATTACCTCATCAAGTCCTTCAACAATATCTTGTGTAACAGTAGCAAGAGCTATACCTGTACTGAAGCCTTGCCTGAAACCACATTGCGATGGTGATAACAAATTATTAGCTTTGAAATACTCAATTATTTGTGGTTGAATAACTATTTCAGAAATTTTGACATGGCCCGGAGTATACTGATAATTCTGAGATCAGAATAACTGGCTGGATCATTATTCTTGGGAATGGGTTTTCCAACAGCAATTTTTCACA